TGGCAACAGCAACCCTTTTCTGGGCAGCTACAGCATGTGTGGAACTACGAATCCTAAGATGCATTTTCAGCAACTGCTCGTCCTCAGCTGTCACTATTCATATTTACATCTTTGTGCCAAAGGGATGTCAGTCAGACAGGTTCCTTGCACTCTGGAGATGAGGCATTACTAGCCATAATAAAATATAAGTAAATTGTGACAGTCTTCCTTTAAAACTGTACGGTACAAAGACATTTACAACTTTTATCTCTAATATATTCAGCTGACTGTTCAGACATGTGCTCTGGAAAGCTTACTTACTTGGGGTTTATCTTTTCACCCTGGTCTTGGAGGGTTTCCAAAACATCTCCACCATTCAAGACAAGTCGAACCTTCTCATCTTTGTCATCCAGTTCCACCAACATGTACTCAACCTAAAAGCAAATAATTGAAAACAAACAGGAAACACTGTCAAACCAATCAAACACGGTTTCATTCAAATTCAATGTAAGCTTGTAACTTCTAAACCAGGTTTTCAGTCGGTGCTAGACTCCAGGACAAAGCAGACGTGTTTCAAGATCAGACTGGGAGGCCATCACATCAATTCCAATTCATCAGTCATGTTTCCTTGACTTTGACTCTGCTCCCCTGTAATCCCCTGTCTGAAAGAGGGATTAATCTATAACAACAGCATTCCACATTGTTCGAAATCAAAACACTTTGTTCAAGCTGTAGCACACTGAAGTTTTACGGACTGGTGGCGGGCAAAAACTAGAAATGCAAACTGGTGTGAGGTTCTGAAAAGCGTAAAGAAAGAGTCACAACAGGCATCAGCTGAGCCTTCATATCCTATGATACAGCTCAACAAAGAGTGTCTTCCTGAATTACTAGTTTTAGCAGACAGTTACTAGGAAAATTGATGCTAAATATGTACATTTATAAGAAGCTGTTGGATAACCATCAGTGATTATGTTTGACAATTCTCAAAAACACACATCTGGTTCTAGACTCTTTATTCTTGTAAAAATATTCATACTTGATATTAAGAATTCAGTCTGACAATGGTTATACAGTGTTATTCAAACAGATCCAGAGTAACCAGTAACACCGGGGTTTGACTGTTATCTTCTCAATCAACTTACATGTAGATATTAGGGACTGTTGTATAATGGACAAATGTCAATGACAGCAATACAATATTGGTTGTAGGTTGCAATATTTATTTGAAATCAAATGTGTTTTTCTTGCAGTGAGGGCAAAAAGAATGAACTAATTCATTCTTTTTGCCTTTTTCTGTATCAATAAAAGACCACTGTTGCATCATGCACAACCAACATGACTGACAGATCACACACATTAACAGCAGCAACAGCAGCAGCAGCAGCAGCAGCAGCACATTTCCACATGTTGGTTCAATATAATGAGAAAAAATAAAACTGCTTCTTACCTCATCGCCCCATTTCAGCACATCTCTCTGACGATCCTTCACCTTGTTGTAGATGTTGAGAAACTGAATGATGCCGTGCTTTCTGATGTGGTCAGCATACTTCTTGGTTTCTTCCCAGTTCAGTGGAGAGCCTTGTGACAGTAAACCCATCGCACAGACAGGCTGGAAGGTGTAAACTGGAGGTTGTTGCTTTTGCTGGCTGCGTACACTGAACCGGCACGCCGAGCGTTAGCTAGCTAGTTTGTCCACCTCGCACGGAGCTAGCATGAAGTCTCGGTCCAAAAAAACGTCAGGGTCTGGATCCTCAGGGTGCTGTCAGAGAGTTCTCGGGCTTGAATTCAGAGTCTCCGGGTTGCTGTTAAGCGGCGTGCCCTGTCGGTAACCTCAGCTGGGCATCGAGAAGAAGCAGGCCCCTGCTCATCACCTGCTAATGACCGGTTAGCACGGTAACACACACCCGTGGGCTGATATAGCAGCAAAAAGTAAAGTAAAAAAACCCTGACGAGTCAATGAGTGCGTGCTAGCCTTGGCTCCGTTAACGACGGCGGACTGAGGCTGTTAATGTGCAGCTCTGCGGTGGGCTGACAGCGAGGTGGACCTGTAGGTAGGTCGTTGTTGCCAAACCAATCTGCTTCACAGCGCTGGGTTGAGTTCAACATATGAACGCCCTCCTGGCTCCACACACGTGATGCCGTCAGGCGGAGCGGAGAGCGCGATATCGTCACCATGACTCAGCAGTATTCGCTGCTTGGCCCCTCCCACTGAGCTGTCAATCAGACCGGGTGGCGATGCTGCGTTCAAGGCTGTGCTGGGTACAGTATACTCAAGGTAAGGGAAAAAATGGGAGGAGCTGATGGAAGTGCGATTGACATTTTCTCCATTATAGACCACTTGAACTATTTCATTTTCTTTCTCCTTTTCACCAATCAATTAATTGACCAATTGTTTCAGTAGACACCTAGTCTTCGTTGGTGAAAACTGGAGAAAAGTGAGGTAAATGTATCATTGTAAATTCTCCATCTGATATAAGTATTTGTGAATAAGAGGCTCACTCTCATTCCATACCCAGAAAGCTAAATTATGTAAATACCAACTTAGTGTGATAAACACAGCTGTTAACCATAGAATGTATACTAAAAGGAGTTGACACTACATAAGCCATTTACTTCATTTAGGACACAATACATATTTAAAATGTGTTTAAAAATGAATGTTTTAAAATGTAGGCTATTCTTTGTTTTGATTTATTTTGGCATTAAATTGTTGTAGCACAAAGCAGTCATTTTCTGCTTGTTTTCTGTAATTAATACCTCAAAGCTATTTACTTACCTCGTCTCATTATTGCCAAACGACAGCAGTAAGAATGAATGAGTCATGTTTACAACTAGTGCATGGGATGTGCCAGCTTGAACATGGATGCAAAATCATTCTAGAAAAAAGGTGATTGTAATAATGACACAGCAACACTTCTTAGAGGGTGTATCTACTGAACTTAACGCACACATGGACAGAAAATCAAGTTATAGGTCAATGAACTGCATCCAAACAATAATGTGGTTTCAACACTGACATTTTATTGTTTTTCTGGTTTCCATTAGACTGACTGTTCCACATACTGTCTGTTAGTTATCTTCCTGAATTTGTCAAATTCACTATCCTCTCTACATGTGACCAAAAGCTGTCCTGATATTATTTGGTTAATTTTGTTCCAAGGTAACATTCTTCATTGGGGATGCAGAGGTGTTTAGCGGTAACTCAGTAGAGACACAGGAAATTCGACTGAGTAAGTATGAAAACGATTTAATTTGACTTCACCTGATCTAATCTGTTCATAGAGCTGCTCTAGTAACAAGCCAGAGACCGCTTGCCCAAAATGACTGTGTGGTGTAGCTATTTTACACATACACAAATGTTACGCTGGCCCAAGACACAGCAATGAGGAGGTTGTTGATGTATGAATTTACAGAGTCACTAAAACCTTAAACTGAGGGACTGCAGCAGAGCAAAAAGCACAGGTCATATTAAAAACCTGGGAAATCTGGTTTGTACTTGTGTGCATTTTCAGGACAATCTGGGAGATGTTTGATTAGATTTGAATGATAGCGTTGGCGACATAAACAGACTTCACCAGAACTGTAACCACATTTTTGATGTTGTGCTTGACTCGACTGATTGGTGTGGCATCAGCTTTTTCCAAATGATCTCCACCCACTTTGGATCAGTGAGAAGAGCGAGGAAATACACACAAATACAGAAATCTATTGTATTACATAACCAATACTGAATTGAAACCTTGGCAGAAAACACTGTGTTCAGAAAGGAGCCCATCACTCAGAGTCAAAAGCTGATTGGAGGTCATGAGGCTGTAATGACACCTCTGTCTTTATGACAGTTCATTAAAATTTCACAAGCTGTATATGTTTGGCATACAGAGTAACTGACAAAGTATAAAGGAGTATGTTGAACTTCACATTTGCTGTATAATAATGCATCAGAGTATCAAGCACAAAATGCCTTCCTCCCTGTGCAAGATCAACAGTTGTCATGGTCCAACCTCTTTTACCTCTTGTTGGATGTTGCTTTATTTTGTTGGTTTAAATGCACCAAACAATGAAGATCACGATGATCCTTCATCAACAGCATACATCCTGCTGCTATTGCTGCTATTAGAAAATGCTTTATGTTCTGTTATGTGAGCCTGATGGCTTGTAAATGAAAAAAAATGTTTGTATATACACATATATATATATATATATATGGAGGAGAGATGCCTCTCTGTTTTCTGTTTGGGACTAGTGGACTTGCACATCAGAGGAAACAGTACACCAAAAATGATGTAATGTGCATAATGCGATAGCCGTTTTATGAATTCATTTGGCTCATGTTACCTGAAGTCCTGTTTCTCTGCTCTATGTTTGTTTGCAGTGTAAATGAGTACCTCCACAGAAAAATGAAATCTGTGTGGTTTTACAGTCATTATGTTTAATAACAAATTAGAGTCAGACTTGGTGTTGGCGCACACTTATTTGTTTTCGCCTTGTAAATTCTTAAATGTGTGTAAAGATAATGTAAAAATACACAAATGCATGAGTCTGTTGGCTGGACATATACAATATTTAAACCCTTTGACATCAGTGGTGTATAGGATTAAAGACAGGAAGTCAAAAGTGCATACCTCATGATTCAAATGGGAAACAGAAATGTAGCCCTCTAAATGGCCTCACCACTTGTTCCTCCTCGTCTACAAACACTGCAGCTGATGCCAAGCAAATCTGATGACAGTAAATCCTTACATTGCTGTTTTCAATCCCATCAAGCCATAACAGTACCATGGCCTTTTCAAAAATTTCCCGACGGTATATAAGAAACCACCAAAAAGGGCAAATAGATTTGAATTGAAATTGAAAAGAGCAAAAATAAATAAATCCTATGTACATGTAAGTTTGTCAATTTATGGTGGTCAAAAACAAGCCTGGCCTGTTTTTTTAGTAAGTGTATAAATACATCTCTTTAAAAGACTCAGAAAATTATTAAAAACATATTTGCTTCGAAACATATAATAAATCACCACAGCTCATAGTATCTTACACTTCATCTCTTTAATTTAAAGTTAAATTTAAAAACAAACAAAAAAAGAAAAGACATGAGCAGTCAGGGAATTCATGAGTACTGACTTCCAGGAAAGCTCAGGCTGACAACATCATTCCCAAGTCATATTTCTCTTTTTATTTTTTACAAAATAGTTTCCTACTGTCACATCTAGGCCCATTCAACCCTCATCATTCCAACATCTTCCCAACAGAACAGTTTCCTTCGCACTGATGGTGTTTGATCACACAACATACGACACAAGACTACTGATTGCTATACATTAGACACATGTAGAGAAACTGCAGTCTTAGTGTGTGGGGTGTTTACACACTAATCACAAGCACCTACTCCTGGTAGGTGATGCGGACACTTATTCCAGCTCCAGCTTTCTGACACTCATTATTCTGTTCAAGTATCTGAGAATCACAGTAGCAGTTGTCACCATAAACTGGACTGTCACAAAATCCAGCATTATTATTTCAATGGCACTGGGTAAAAAAGACAGTTATGTTACAGATCAATTTCCACACTGATTTTATACTTTAATGCCTTCCATATAACATTATATTTGCTATAAAAAAGGGTTAATGAAAATCCCAACTGATTTGGCCCCAAAAGGAAAATTCTGTCTAAAAATGATAAAATTGAAACATATTGCTCTGCACCAAATGCAAACTATTAATGTCGAAATAAAATTTAGTTTATGACTTCTCCTTGCCAGCACTGGCTTCAATTTGCTTTAAATGAATTGAATTTTTTTTTTTTTTTTACTAACTTTGTAAGAATGTGTTCCCAAATTCGTAATTTTTGCATTTTACTAATTTTTGCTCATCTGAAGAAAGTTGATGACCATTTAAACTGACCATCTTAGCCCCAAAAATGCGACTGTTGGTAGAGTTGAGAACCAAGCTTTATGCAACAGCCAAGTTCGAGACCTTTGGACATGTAAACTACACCATTAGTATCACTTAAACTCTTATATACTGACTGGTGCAGATGAAACTGAACTGGCTCTGGATTCTCGTGTTTTCCGTGTGGGTATGGTGACGACACAGCATGAGATGCCGACTGTAGCTTCTGGCAATTCGTCATCCTCAGTCCATTCATTGAGGTCAGGGTTGTAAACCTGAATGCATTTCTTGTACTTCTTCTCGCCCTCGTTCCAGCCTCCAAGCAGATAGACCTTGTTGTTCAAAATGGAAATACCGGCTGTGCTCACTCCTGTGTGAAGAGGCGTGCTGTAGCTCCACTGCCCGTTGTGAGGATTGTAAGATTCGACGGCGAGGACATCCACTCTCTCCCCACGACCTCCCAACTGACTGCCACCGATGACGTAGGCTCGGTCTCCCACGGTGGCAGCGCAATGCCAGCCTCGAGGTGTGCTGAGACTGTTCTTATCCTGCCAGGTGTCGGTAGAGGGGTCATACGAGCACACAGCCCTGGAGTAGGCGTTGTTGATGTAACCTCCAGACACAAGGATCTTGCCCTCGATGACGGAGCTGGCATGACAGCAGCGGGGCACTTCCATGGGAGCTTTCATCTGCCACTGGTTGGAGGAAGGCACATAGCACTCCACAGAGGCCTGAACACCATCAGAGTTTCGCCCTCCGACGGCAAACAAGAGGCCATTGAAGGTGTTGAGGCTGAAGTGGGTGCGCCTCTGGATCATGTTGCTCAAGTGAATCCAAGTGTTGAAGCGTGGGTCATATCTAAAGACAGAGGGGATTTTAAGTTATTTCATAAGTCTACACAAACGATTATGACAAATGCTATCTTTAAATCAATTAGTTCTTACCTGCAGAAGTTGCTAACAGCATGTTTAGCCTGATTCCTTGCATCATTCTGGTCCTCACCACCTGCCACATACAGGAAGCCATCCAAGACTGCCACACACTGATTAAAGCTCTTTGCTGGCATTTCTGTCAACTTATTCCACAGGTTATCTGCATCTCTGTAGAGAACATCCTTGCTGAGAGATTTCTCTGTCAAAGCAGGACGTCCACCAATTGTGAGTACCACCTTGAGGCCACCGCGTACCTTTGTTCTGCGTGACTGGAGGATGTTCTGTTGGTATGGCAGCAGATGGTAATTCATGGCGTCAACAAGGAGACGGTGGCACTCGGGGTCTTGCATCATCCTGGGCGCACTCTGGACATGGTTCACCAGGTCTTGGGCAGAGATAGTGCCGAAGCGGATGAGAGTTAGGAGATCTGCTGCGTATTTCAGCCTCTTCTCATCAAAGTCCAACCACTTCATGGCAATCTGGAAGGCGGTGACCTCAGAGGGGAGCTGCAGAGAATCATCAGACAGGAAATCACTGATCTGCTCATAGGTGAGCTTGAGGAACTGCTCCATCTCGGAAAACTCGATGAAGTTCTCCCGCATGAACTTCTGAGCCGCCTCCTTGGTTTCTTTGAGGTCGTAGGCATCGGCGATGTTGCCCACATACATACAGTTCTCAACGCTGAGCTCCTGCATGAGGAAATCACTGCACATCTTCACCAGGCTGCCGATCTGCAGCAGCATGGCTGCAGCAATAGTGCTGCCGATGCTGTACAGCGACAGGGTCAGCTTTCCGGAGTATGCGTATGTGATTGCAGTGGCGAGGCCGACCGGTGAGAGGTCGTTCAAGTCGATCTTTTGGAGGGCAGAATCCTTCTTCAAGATGTTACGAATGTACTCGCTGCAGGAGGCCATGACAACCTTGTGGACGTCAAATGATTTTGACTTGGTGGCGACTGTTAGATCACAGAGGAAGCTCTCTTGTCTCATGTTGCTCATACCCTCCAGGAGGTTTGGTGCATACACAGAATCAGTAACTTCAGTTGAAATGCAGCTGAAGCCGTTACCTCCTTCTAACAGAGTGTTTAACCCATTGATCTTGTTGATGGGGCTGTCCTCAACCATTATGGTCATTTCATTTATGTCTCCTTTACTCTTTTTGGTTGCCTTGTTCTTTTTGGGTGCCATGGCTGTAGCAGCAGAACACAGCCTAGACCTTCTGGAAATATAAATATAACATGTCAAGATGTTGTCAGGAAACCACATTATAACTTGAGGATGATGCAAAGAAATCAAAGCGGTATCATAACAGTCAGGCAGATAAAGCTGTGTGCAACAGATAAATTGTAACAGATATGAATTATTCTCGCAAAGAATTGGCCAAGATTTAATTTAGTCTGCTCATTAAATTATCAGTCATGTGGCTGAAAAATAAAAAGGAGATGAGTGAATGCCACATTCACAAGACTGAACTATATTAAAACAGTTTATATTGCTGAAATGTTTTGAATTATTTCATTTCCTGAGCTGTGCGTTTGCCCTATTTTTAGGGCAATGTGTTGTTTTCTTTGGCCCAAACTAAACAATACTGTTGGATTTAAGGAGAGGAAGAAGAAGACTTTTTCTTACATTGTGGAGTTTGTTCGATTTATTTCGGCACATCCAGACACTGACACCTATAAAAACATGTGTGCTACCAGGTGATGCTGGAATGAGTGAGTGCGTCAACATGCCCCTCTTTGCATCTGTCACAATTTATCAGCAGTATGTCCAGGAATAGCAACACTGAACGGCTCTCCCATGACGTTCCTTTTATAGACTTTGAGGCATGAGCAGCAGGCCTCATGTCCTCTGACTGTTTAAATTCAGATTAGGGCAAATTTTCTTTTTTTTTTTTGTACCTTTTCTTTATTTTACTGAATGCTTTCAAGCTTGTCCTGGATAAATCTGCAATTAATACCAGCTACAAGACAAAAAAGTTTCATGAAAAGTGACCTATTATTTAACTACAACCCTTGCAAAGTTGAAGCTTATCACAATAGCTATGTGTAAAAAAAAAAATTTTTTTCACAAAAAGGTCAATAACTTCAGATAATTTATTTACCTTTTGGAGCCAAAGTAAGTGAAAAAAGAACATATTTTCCATTCTAAAATGACTGACCAAAGCTGAAGCATTAATTGCACCATGTTCCCTTTTCATTGCTAAAATTGCAAACAGTCACAGCATGGGAAAGCTCCACTTACCTGAGAAATGAAGTTGAGGCTGGTGAAGAAGGAACTTGTACCTCCAGTTACTGGAGCAGGAGAGAGAGACCAGCAGTCACCCCTGCTGAAAGAGACATGCAGTTAACTCCTCCTCTAAGGCAGTGAGTGCCAATCAAGTATTGTGCAATGCATGTTGGAGAGGGCAGGGACCATACACCCCCCAACCATACAGTGTCCCACAATAGCTTCCAATCTCTTGATGTCAACATCCCACGGAAGCTCGACGTCATATGAAGAGTTTCATTTTGCCTACCACAGAAAAAAAATCATTAGCTCTTAGTGGTGCAAAGAGCATCTTGTTTTAGTATCCAGGTAGAAATACTCTTTTTGATATTTCACTCCTACAACCCTCTACATGGTAAAACTAAAATAAAAATGACCTTAACTTATTGTTGGACGTGATCTTCTAGACAATCTAAATGGAAATCAGCGCAATCATACAAGCATCAGTTTGTTACCGGCACATTAGATAATGTTATCCTGTAGCTTTCTGTGCAGATGATATACAGCACAAAAAGGGGAATACTGTAGTTAGGAAGTGTAGGAGAGTCCCCACCATCTAGGTCCAGCTCATATTACATTACTGCTTTCTCTGATGTGTTGGTTGATGCAGGCTTAAAGGTGTAGCCTAGGCCACAAGTTCCTGAAATACATTCATTTCCACAAAATATTTAAGAGTCAAAATCATGTAGGTCATGGATCTCGACTTTTGAAAGGAGGATTTCTTTTAAAGGCCTTTCATGTCATATTATGAGAAAATCCTCATGCCATCTCTAACAATGGACAACCAATTAACAGCTCCTAAAGAGGGACCTGCGGGTACCCAGAGGACCAAGGGGGGTTACATTTCAGAAAGACAGTTTATTTTCAATATCTTAATTTTGTTCCCCTTAGCAACATTATGTTGATATGTGTTTGTCATATAATCACATTCGCATGTTTAATATGAATTGGTTGCAAGAATTCCAAACCATACTACACCCCACATCATCTGTCGTCGGTTACGCCTCATTATAATAATGTCATCAATGGGCGCGCGCTGCCCGGTGTGTGTGTAGACGGTTTGCACGTGAATCGCCGTGATGGCCAGCAGCTCTGATGTGGTGAAGAAAGTCATGCGGCTCAAACTTCAGCTCACAGACACAGCAGAGACTGCCACGGTAGATACAACACATACATGCATTTTTAAGTAAGTCAACAGAGCAGAGCAAGGGGAGGAAAGCTGCAGCCTTTGGGATACTACAGGCTACTCTTACGGTTCTTTAGATATGTCTGCTCGCGTTTCCTGTTTCTGAAGCGTTTTTTTCTTTTTCTTATCCGCTCCACACTCAGTTTTCTCGTCTTTCATTCATGGCTTTGTTGTACTTTTATAGAGACAAATAAAAAGCTCTGGGCGTTGGTGTAAACATTAGTCTACTACCACCTGCTCTCACATTGGAAGCTATAAAAAAGTGAACTGAAGTCATAATGAGGCCTAATTGACAGTCTCCTCTCTGCAGGCTGTGCTTTTTTTCTTGTATCATGTGCGGACAGGCAGAAGCGGGTGGGTGCTGTTTCAGTCAGTGACATGTGCGCTGCTGCCGCCACACTTCACTGTCGTGGTGGGGTTGGGGTTGGGGGGGTCAGGCCAGGCTCTGTTAGATGGGAGGCGCTTTTGCTGCTAAAATTGGCAGCTCCTCCAGTTGTTCAGCTTATGGCTGCCGTCCATCACCCATGAAGGCTGTGACGCTCTACAGGCTTGTTTAAGTTACTGTTGCTGCTGCCTTTACATAAACTGGCCAATGTTTAGTTTCTTCAGATTAAATTAAGATTACATTAAAATTTGTAATGTATAACCTGAAAGAACCTAATTCACCCACATATTGAGACTTTACTTACCAGCAGTAGCATTATCCATTTATAGTTCACAGTAAAAGGAGCACCCTAAGTGGGTGTGAGGTTCCCATACATAGCTTCTGCTCTGAATGCACAATCAGCAACTGTGGTGATCCAAAACCAGGACTGCCATATTTGGCATGGCAGGTTTTCTTCAATTTTGTTCACATTTTAGCAACTATTTTTCCTAATTGCGTGTGTGAAAGCCATGTCCAAGCACATTAGATGGTTGCCCTGACACTATTTTAAAAGCATTAACAACCTCACCAGAGGGATTAATGTGTCAATTACTCTCTTTCTAGGTTCTTAAAATCTTGCAGAAACTCAAGGATCTGGATATCACGCTAGATATTCTTGCTGTAAGTCTCTTTTGGCAAAGAATGGATATTGTGTTTATGTTTTCACATGCATTTTGCATAAGTTAAATTTTCATGGACTGCACTAACAAGTGTCCACATGTAGGAAACTGGAATTGGCAAAGCAGTTAACTCCTTGCGAAGACATGAACAGGCTGGAGAATTTGCCAAGTCGCTAGTTAAAGGTTGGAAAAAACTGGTCCCTAAGGAGTGCTCAAGGTGAAGCGTATTTAAGTTTGTAGTTGTATTTATAATTCTGGTGTAGAATAAAATTAATTGTGCTTAATTTGTATGTGTGTGACATCTTGAATCTTCCCTTGATGCAGCCACACAGAAGTTGGGGATGTGTCAGAGACCATGTCTGTTAAAGACAAACTAGACGACCAAAACTGTTCAAACACTGGAAGTTTGACAATAGAGGATTTAAACAATAACTGCTCAACATCTCACAGCAAGAGTCAGGAATCCTCAGATGAGGTCTTCTTCAAAACGGGGAGTGGGAAAACCGCTTCACAGAAACAACAATGTGAACAACAGAAAGGAAAAGAGAATGAAAATGGAGAAAAAAGTCACCAAGAAAACCAGAATATTTGTCAGAATGACATCTTGGAAAAGGAAATTGGAGAGGATCAAATAGACGTATTATTTGCTTTCAAGAAGAAAAATGATCAGAGCAACAGAAAATCAGGAGATGGTGATACTTTGCTTGGAAACAACTCAGAAGACACTCATCAGAGATCCAGGTCTGACTCCAGGGAAAAGCCGAAAAGCAACTCTGATGATGGAGGATTTTGGCCAGAAAAAGAGTCAAATAAGAAATCAAAGCCATCAAAAGAATCATTGAAGGAAGATGAAGAATCTTTTTCATTTGAGTCCAGTGACAAAAACTCAAAAACCTTAAAACTGGCCAATGCCAGAGAGGACAGGTCTTCAGGAAAATCGAGGAGCTCAGAGGACCAAAAGAGAAAAAGGAACAAAACAAGCAAAGAGAGGCATGTCGGTCTTGAACATAAACAAGAGTCTGAAAGCAAGGGACATTCAAAACACAAGAACAAAAAGGCCAAAATGAAACACAAAGACAAGGAAAGTGTCAGTGACCAAGAGGAGCCCTCCAAGTCTTTTGAATCGTACTTGAACTATGACGTGAATGTTTTCAAGAGAAAAGAGCGATGTGGAGTAAAGAGAGCTCCCAGAAAAATCAAGACTGGAGTAAAAGAGGAAGCAGCAAAAGATTCTGTCATGAAACTTTTCAAGTCACCTGTAATGTCTATAACTATTAGCCCTCCAAAACAGGTAACAATAATCTTAAAAGTTTTGCTTGTAGAGTGCAGGTCATGACTGATTGATATTGACCAATGATCTCTCTTATTTTAGAAGTTTGAGGAGTCTGTAATGGACCTGATGAACATTCCTTTACCTGCTGTTCTGCCTGAATGGGAAGGGCCCTCCAGTGTTGAGTACTTTGATAGGAAAGGTAATGTGTGTGTGTGTGTGTGTGTGTGTATAGCAAACACAGTTGCATTTTCGCATTGGTTATTTCGTGCTTGACACTCGTTCTTTCTGCCTTTAAAGTTGAGAGAGAGTCTGATTTCTGCGACGCCTCTGAGGACACTGCCGTCTTTACCGGTCAGCGACTTAACAAGAAGATGCAAGTGTACTCTGGTGCCAAGACCGTCTTCCTCCCAACCATGATGAGCTTATACCAACAGTGTATCCGCATACTCCAGAACAATATTAACTGTGAGTAAAGCCCAAAGAACCTTTTTTGCTGTGATGTCTGTCTGTCTGTTGGATTTATATTTAGGTGCAGGGATCTCTTCTCAGTGCTTTATGAAACCGGCGGAGTCCCATTTGAAATCCTCGAGCCAGTGTTGGAGAGGTGTACGCCGGAGCAGCTGCTACGCATTGAAGAATGCAACCCAGTAAGAATGTGACGTATGAATAAATTTAGTGCAGACACGCACTTTGTGGCCACTTTATTAGGTACACCTGCTGAGCACTGGGTCTGACCCCCTGAGGCCCAGAGGCTGTGCAAGCAACTATATATATGTGTATGTGTATGTATACACATTTTTAATCTATGTTTAGTCTATAAAATATCAGTGAAAAGTGCCTGTCACAATTTCCTAAAGGCCGTGGTGACGCATTTAAATGTCTCGTTGTGTTGGACCAACAGCACAGAAAACAAAGAAGTTGATGTTACAGTGATATAAAAAATTGAGAACGGCAGAAAATCCTCAAAATTAAGAAAGTGGAAAAAAAAACTTTAACAGTCGATTATCAGAATTGTTGCAGATTAATTTCTATCAATCCGCTAATTGATTAATTATTCAGCCCCTTCTTTTCAGATGTCGGGAGTAAACACATGATGGTGTTGCTGCCCGACAAGTTCAACAAGTTACACAATCAGTTTCCGGTTGTCACTGTTGCTCTTGGCTGTGTACTGCCTACCTGTGGCCTTCTTGTTAACTAATCTGATAGGTCATGGTTTAGGTTTTACATCCACAGAGAAGCATTAACTAGGTGCTCTTTGTTAAGTGACGCTTTTTCTGAGATGCTTGAACCACCACATCGGGCACCGGTAGTCAAGGCCTGCTGTTAATGAGCAAGATTACTTAAGGTGGCCACTGAGTGTGTGTCAGTTTGTTCTGAAATTATCTTTCTAGGTCAGTTAACATATTCATAGACCTTGGGTAGAGATTAGAAAAGTTACTGTAAAAGTTGTGATTAGGAAATAAATCTGTCCACAGGTGTTTATTTGTCGTTAGTCCTGTAACTATTTGTGTCCGCAGATCTACATTGGAGTGTCAGACCACATATGGGGGAGACACTGCCAGAGGGACTTCAAAGACTCCAAGCTTCAGGAGTACGAATCATGGAAAGAGATGTACATCAGGTTGTCTGAGGAGAGGGAAAGGAAACTCCAAAGACTGACAAAAAGCATTGTATCGGCCCATTCTAAGAAACCCAAAGGTGTTTACTGTACATAAAATCAGGCTGTTGCTGAAACTAAAACTGAAACTATATACAATGTATATTGTAGAAGAATATTTAGTTTAGTCCTTATTACGTTCTGTACACTGAGACACTTTTTTCTTTTCTTTTTTTTTTTTTAGGTCGGCAGGTGAAGATGGCATTTATTCACACTGTTGCCAAGCCACCGAGAGATGTGCGAATTCAGCAGGAAATTCATGGAACTGCTGTTCAGCACCCTCATCAGCCCAGGTGCAGGTGAGTTTCACCATTCTTGATATAGAAAAATATCTACATATGTATATTCATATACAAAATACTCATTTCAGGTTGTTTTCCTAATTACAGCGTTCATAAACAAACCAAACATTTTATATAAGAGCCATTCATTGCTGTGCATTTGATTATCTTCGGTAAAGCATGAACACCTGGTAAGCCTTGTGCTTTGCTCTGCTCCTCTTCCACATAAAAGCCCTTAACTACAAAGTGATCACTCAACAACAGCAGCTTAGCAGGGTCATAACCTGTCGGAGACTCGTGTGATAACAGTGAGTGAAATGCTTTTTGGGTGAGCTTATCCAAACACAGGAATTGGAGCAATGTGCTGGATAAACTGGTTTTATTCTGGTTAGAGACGGCCTTGGGTCCTTTTGTTGTCAACTTGTGCGACATGGGATGTTAAAAAACGTGGATGTAGACTCTTTCTTGTTATTTTATCTGCATTGTTTTTGCTCTGAAAATGATAACTCCAATTCTGCACTGTGCTGTTATTTCACAAATCTCCAGCATCAAGGTTCAGGACAACAGACTGAGGCCGAGTTGTAATGAGCCCAGCCGGTCCAGCAGCTCCAGCTCAGGGGGAAGCAGTACACCAGACCCCCGCAAAAAAACAAGTGAGCTGACAAGAGAGTATTGTAGATGCAGATGTTACGTTTTTGTTGCTCTTTTTTTTCTCCAGTCATTTTCATCAAAGGTCAGAATGAAAGCTATACATTTAACTTGTGTGGTCATGATTTACATTTTATTTTATTTTTTTTGTTGTTTTCACAGGAGTTGCTCCAATGATGGCAAAGTCCTTAAAGGCATTTAAGAAACAGTTTGGACGCAGATAAATGCTCACATACGATCTTGCTATTTACATTGTGAGGATGTGGGAAAAGTGCACTCTATCATTCATTAACTTTGAACAATACCAGGCCTTTGTTCACTTTAGATTACTCTGTGTTGTTTGTCTTAATATGCAGGCGGCAATTGCCATGTTTTTTTTCTCTATAACTGTGAATTTTCTTCACCATTAAATGGACTATGAAATCAGCAAATTCACTTGATTTTTGACATTTTTTGTCTTTTCAATCTGTTTGAGCTGAACAGAGCTCAGTGGTAGGTTATTTAATGGGGTGTGGTTCCCCCTAGAGGATGGATAGAGAAATGCTATTTTCTGTATATTTACAAATGTCTCCTACAAACTCTTTGCTATACATAACATTTTTTCTTCTAGCACTGCATCAAACTAAATCAAAGTGAACCGAAGAGCAACCCTAAGTGTTACAACTGACAGCACATTTACCTTGGGTTCATTGCTCATAGTATATTGTCATAACAAGTAGTCGTGCTTTTATCTGTTTTCATCTTGTTTTGTTGTTCAGGTCCACAGTTTGTCGTCATCCACCCAAACAATTTAGAAAAAATGTCAACAAATTATGAACATAATGAAAAGAAAGCAGTTCTTTGTCAGTTCACTAAAATCCCCATGATGTTGTTGTGTTTCATTGGGGGGGGGGTGTCTGCTGTCTGCTGTCTGCTGTCTGCCACCTCTCAAGGACCCTTCCTGTCTATTTTTGTGTTTTGTGGTTATGTTTAAACAACTGTTGGAGATAGTAGAGGAGAGGCTCTAAAGCTGCTGCAGCCTTCAGCACCACCTGTGGCCACCTGCTAAGACTGCATCATTAATCCATCTTCATAGTTCAGTTTATTAGTTTGAGGTAAGCTGCTATTATATACCTATGGGACTTTGTTTTTGTTACTTGTAAGTTGTTAAATGTTTACTTTTTTTGAGGTGAGAAAAGGATCAGAAAGTTGTTTTATCATGACTGTTTAAACACGGCAGGAAAAAGACACAATTGGGATTGGGAATTTCAAATTTTGTCAATTGTCAATACTCCCAATAAAAACTCCATATACTCCAAACGTCAGAGCTGAAGCCCTATTGACCTTGGACGGTGGTGGCAAAATGACTGGATGGTTAACGACACTGCTACCACAAGGGGACCCTGCAACAGAGGCCTGGAGCTGACCTTGACCTCTAACCTGGAAAGGAGAAAATTGTAAAATAAAAATCCAAATTAGTATCTTAAAGGTTGACATGAGTGTTCTTATTTTTTTTTCATTGAGAAATTGAAATCTGTCAGATTATGCGTCTAGAAAGCTGAATCACAAATCGTGCGGGATGTGACGTGACGTTTTACATAGACATACATTTATTTGCTGATAAATTATTTGATGGATTCTGGCTTTTGGACATGAAGTAAAGCTAAAGAGGGCAACTGAAAAAGGACAGGAGAGGCACGTTGGCATGGCTGGATTACCAGCAGGGCAAAGTGCAGCCAACCACCCAATGGCCCCACAATGGGTTCACTGTGTAGCAGCTGATTTGTGGTTTATCTTGCATGTGGTTAATTGTAACTTTATTCATGAATATACACAGAATTTGTAAAATGCTATATTCATCAACATGTGGAACTCTTTACCCACATAACTCAAAATGGATCAAGACTGGGATCATAATCCCAGTCTTGATCCATTTTGACATAATCTGAAATAGTTTTTAAAGATGGACCTGTCATGAATGATCTGCTACTTGTTTCATGGTACATTTATTGTATTGTTATAAATTTTTTCTGTTTTGTGTATTGTTTGCGTCTTGTGCTGTGTTGTATGTTCTTGTTGAGTTTTGTGTTGTTTTTTGTAATGTAGGCTATTTTCTGGTTGGGTTTTTATTTTTATTTTTGTGGTTTTCTTCTTTTATTTTATTGCATGTATTTTAAAAGCCAGAAAATGCAAATTAGCTTAGGCTATAAATCTGTGGCATTTGTTCATGCTATATAGAACTACTTGTCCATAAACAAATAAACATTAAATAGATAAAACCTTGTAAAACACATAGTAGGACTTTCACCACTGGCGTAGCTTTTCAAACATACTGCTGGATTATATTTTAAATAAACTTTATTAAGTATATTTTGCTACATCTATATCAAGCATTTTTAAAAACAAGCTTAAGGTCCAGGGTTTTTCATTCTGGGTGTCCTCTGTCAGCCTGTGGGGCCCCGGGCTGTTGTCGGCCCTCTGTGCCCAACCATGGCGGCCCTGTGCGGGACGGGACTATCCAGAGGAGGGACCGGGGGGAGGAGCAGCCTGGAACGGTGACGTAGGATTGGAATGAGGGAGTGAATGTTCCGGGTCAGAAACTGGACGGGGGAGGAAATTAACTCCAGGACGAGACACGAAAAAAAAACGAGAACGCTACCCGCCTCTATACGGAGATGTAGCCCGTGTTTTTGCGGTTACAAAAGAGGGCTTTTAAAAACGGCGGGGGGTCGACGTGAGACGAGGAACCAAGTGGAGAGGGGAAAAAACAGGTGCCTACAAAGTCACCAAAGTGAGACAACGACGGACAGTAATTCCCATGTTGGTCGCGACCTCACGAACGTTAGCTCGGTAACGTTATTTACAGCTGGAGTTTCGGTGTTTAGTCGCGTGTGAGTTTCGCCTCGCTTGTGTTTGACGGTGAATTTAGTCCAGTGCTATCCCGCAGTAGCAATCTGTTGCATCCCCCTCCTCCCCGCTGTTTGTTTATCGCACGGGTACGAGATTTATTCCCACCTCCCCCGTGATGTTTCACTGTATACCCCTGTGGCGGTGCAACCGTCATGTTGAGATGATCGATAAACGCCACTGCTCCCTGCTGTATGTGCCCGATGAGATTTATCGCTACGGACGGAGTTTGGAGGAGCTGTTGCTTGATGCCAACCAACTCAGAGACTTGCCCAAGGTAAGCAGCAAACAGCTTCCGCTCACTGGGGTTCAGAGGCAGGGTATCGTAGCTTATTTTTGGTCACATGTAATGTGTTCCTTCGGTTAGAGTGGCTCTGACACGGAGCTGCTAACTGAGCTGATCAGGCGTCCCGTGAGAGTCTGGTGGTACCTGGGGACAACAATTACGCAAGATCAGCAAGGCAGGCACACTGTGGAGGTGGAAATCTCCCCTGAACTACACCTCCCACCGCAGGTTGATCTAATGCATGTGCCAGAGTCTGGGTTTAGGTCATAAAACATTTTTATTTGAGTCTCAAATGTCTCGGCAAAGCCCTGACATTTTGTCTGATACGTCAAACCTGTTTGGGCAGGTGATCCCATGCTGAGGTCAGAAATACCCATGACCCTTTGTCTGTGAACTCAGAGAGCCATGACTGTGTGCAGAGAGCATGAAATATCTCATTCTTCAGAGGAAATAGAGTTTAACTATGTTGAACAATACTCAAGTCACAATATATATGACTCAGTAATCTAATATTGTTAAACAGGAATGACTAATGGTGCTCTAGAGCAATATTTATTCAACGCTAGAGGTCCCAAATAAGACGCTTGTTGAAGGTTCATTATTGACTTTGGAAATAAGTTGCACAAAAAAAGAAAAACAAACTCCATCTGCTGATGAAGGCCATGAGATGTAGCCAAAAGCTCCAGAAAAATTCCAGTAAGTGGATCTTGTGCATGGGTATGCAACATACAACAAGGATCATCATAATGAATATATATTGTAAAAAAGACAGTTATTTTCATTTTCAATCAGTCAGTCATTTTAGAAATGCAGGAAATCAAGCTTCAAGTTCAATACCAATGCTCTTTTTTTCCATATTTAAATCTGTATAACTCATAGCGTTGGACTCATTAGAATAATATTTAAATGCAGAGACTGAAAGAAACAGTGAGTTTTTTGATAATATTGACCAAAAAACAGTATATATTGTGAATTAGTCATATCATGGCTGATTCCCAATCTTTTTAATATGGGCAGAATTGGCACTGATATCGACCTGGCATATTAGACTGGTGCTTTCCTAAAATAGAAGATTGAAAAAGAACCATTACAATTTCCCAGCGCCCGAAGTGATGCCTTCAAATACCCTGAAACTCAACAATATTTTGAGAAAAGTAGCAAAATCTTTACACATTAGAATCTGTGAATGATTGGTATATTTGTTTGATTATGACTCAGTCAATTAAAGACAGATTAAAGACTTTGATTTACAACGTGATTTAAGTCTTTAATTAAATAACCGATTCAACACTGTCTATCCAATGTCGAACTGTATTCATAGGTACATGACGTCACAACTGGATTGGGTTGAAAATTCAAGACTAAAAAGCAAACCTTGTCATTTGACTTCCATTAGATATTCCACAACTTGGATGACTGTAACCCTTTACAGACACAAACACCCAGTGAATCATAGGATGATTGAAGTACTCCATCGCAGTGGCACTATTTTTGTTTAATAGAAACAACATACTTTGGGGAGGAAGAGATACAGAAGCTCGGCCTTCTGACTTGTGACCATGGCGCTCTGGATTAAGTGAGATACTAGTTAACGGATTGTGTGAGAATGGTCCATTTAGTATGTGTCTATGTCCGGGCTTGAAGCTGAAGATCCCAGAGTCTGAAGATGTCTTTCTGGCATTCGTATAGCCCAGAGCTGCTACAGTGAGGGAAAGGATTACTGACTTTGTGGCTTTGTGGCTTTGTTGCATATTCCCTTTAACTTTTGCAGCCAAACCGGTTTTGTTGTTGATGGTGCTTTTGGTTCCGCTCTGGAGAGTGTATTTTAAGCTTGAGAAAATTGCATTTGTTATTGTCACGGAAACCTTCAACAGCATGGAGTACGTTTGGTAATATGTTGGGTTTACAGCTGGCCCTGACAAGTGGACTAGTACACTTGAGAAACTGTCCTGACCTCATATAACTGAAGTCATGGTGTCAGATGTAAAGCTGATAGGATTGAAGGACTATTTTGTGCCTTTGCGACGTTTCTTTCATTCTTGGTTTTCATCTAAATATAACATACAGCGATGTGGTCTACAGAAGTCTGTACAGTAAAAGGAAAAAGACAGTAGAAAGAAGATTTTCTGGGCTTGGCATGTCCATAGAAATTTGATGAAACAGAGATAATATTAGCAGCCTCTCATGGCTGTGTGACACTGCTTACTTTGTCCATTGAAGAAAAGCACAGGAACAGGTATTCTGACTGAAAACAAAGACAGCATTATGTGTTTTGTTGTCGCCTCACTCGTGCAATTGTAGTGTTTTCTAATGAGTCATCGACCTAAATTGAAAAGTACAGACCAATAAAACCATAAACCAACTCCACTATACACCTGGCAAACCAGGCGCTTGCATAGTTAACCCTCTCTCCATCGTCCTTGCCTGCAAGGGTGTGATTAACAGGTGTACTCTCACTGTGACAACACATACACAGCTGTTTGACAATTTAGCAATATATTTGTATATATATATGTATATATATATATATATATATATATATATGCTCATAAGTTTGTATAGAGGGTAGAGCAGTGGATTATTTGCATGCTGACGAGAGAAACTGTGTATTGTGTTCTTTGGCATGTATCTAATGTCATCAATGCTTGCTGAGTGAACCCAAGAAACGTCCCACTGGATAAACCTTGGTATCAGTCCACTCCACTGCTCACTGTGTGGCCTCATCCCATTTGCCTTGGAGGTGGCTAACTGAAAAAAAAAAAAAAAAAAAAGCTGACCACTTAACTTTATTATTATATTGACAATGATGTAACAAAGCCTAGACGCAGGAACATATTTCAAGTCAATCATTTCAACCAGCGGGCAGATAAAAACATGCACATGGCAGCCTTAACGGCAAGATGAAACAGCAAAGGTGTGTTTTTACAGTAACAAGATGAGGCAAGTTGAACTTGAGCAGATAGTTTCAATAGTTTTACGAAGAAAAATCTGCTGACCAAGTCATGAAGGTCCTATTTCTTTTTTGTTTTGTTTGTTTTATGTATTGTTTTTGCAGACACTGTGGACTGAATTAACAAGCAGTAAATTGTGTCTCTTTGTGTATTCAAAATGTCCCTTAAGCCACTGGTCCTCACGATACATACCATCAGACTGGTTTGTAAACGGCAGTCAAACTAAGAAACTAACCAGCAAGGAAGAATAAGAATGCAAGAGTAGCTGGCTGTTAAAATGTGTTTGCCTGTTCATCCAGTTTAAAAATGAATGCAGTTTTCAGTGTCTCCCGCTCCACTAAAACTGTAAGACAGAGAAGTGGCTGTGTCAAAAACCTTCTTAAATGAAAAAGCAACTCTTACATCTGCGGTGCATATACCTCTGCATAACAGAATTATTTTTAACTGCAATAATTGATCGATAAACCAGTCAATCTAGAGAAAATCAGCAACGGGTTTAAATTTGATTAATCTTTTCAGTAATTTCTCAAGTAAAAAGGCCAAACATTCTGCAGTTGCAGCTTCTTCAGTGCAAGGATGTGATGATGTTCTTTGTCATATACAGGAATGAGCTGAATACAATTAGGGGTTGATTTAAAACAAGCAATCTGAACACACCTCGGGTTGCGGGAAATTATAACAGTATTTTTCACAATTTTCTGATATTTAGTAGACTAAATGATTAACTGAGAAGATTAATCGATCAGACTAAAGACTATCATTGGTTTCATCCCTAGAAGTATCATGTTTTCCAGGTTGACAAACAATAAAATTACCAGATATGACAAGTTGATTTTGAGAGGATTCGCCCCTTAACTGATAAGTCAATCGACAGTTTAAATATGTAAGCTGAAACATGCATTGATGGCAGTGATGGAAGTGATGGCAGTGAGGGCGAGAGAAAGCAATATCCGGTCTGAGACAGGAAGCTGCAGAGTTTGTTGCATGTCTGAAGTGGTAAAGAAAGTGGTGCGATGAATCCCAGAGCAGGAAGCTGGTGGTTGAACTGACTTTGAAACTCTGAACTCTGATCGACAAAGGAGATGTTCCTGCAAAGAAAGAACTGTCACAAAGGGTAGTGCAGGTGAGTTTCTGAAATGTGGTTGTGGCTGAAGCAGTTTTAAACCTAGCCTTTGCTATGATATACTGTAAAATGTGCACATGAAATAACTTGTAATGGACTCAACTAAGCATTCAACACTCTTTGCCTTTATGGCTGTAGGGTTGTGGCCTGGCAAATGTAATTGACTTGATGACAAAGCAAGGAAGCCTAGTCCGGATAAATGGCAAACTCTCTATTACACTCATCTACTCAAATAATTCATTTTTTTAATGCTGATTTTATAGCTTTTTGGTTTGATTATGTAAGAATATTTGTTGCTAAACTTCACACCTGCATCTTGTACTACATGAGTACATTATGGACTTTTGGTGACAACTTCTGGTACAATGATCCCTGTGCTCACTTTCCAAAACCACCATCAGTGCTAAGGGTGAAACTGGAGGTTCAAACATTGACACGGGAGTTGACAGTATAGTTAATGTATGCTTGACTCAGCCTGTTTTGGTTTTTGTGTGTCACGCACGGGTGACAGTTGGGGGTGTGGTGACACTGAATGACACTAACAGGAGGAACAGGTTTTCTGTCAGTAAGTTAAATGCAGAAATTGCGAAGCTCGTCGCAAATTTACAACAAAAGAATCAATTGTATATTGCTGTTTGTTACCTTTCTGGTTGTCTTTATTGTTATGAAGAGGATTGGAAAACTGCATTGAGCATTTGAATTAAACTGACATTGATTTCATTTGAGTCCTTGATACTGGAAGTTTGTGTTTGCTTCCAACTGTGTCATAAAGGGAGAGGCATAGCTCAAGGAGGAAGTCTGAAAGTGGGAAACATGTAGGTGTGATCAAGCTCAAAACTGAATTGGCAATATTTTCCTGATCTGTTACACCTCAGGTTAGTTTTTTGGAAATGAACAAGTCTGCACTAGCAACGACTCCCTTGATAATATCATCAAGATGGATATAAATCTTTGAGCTGTGGCCTTGTGATTGGGAGCAGAGTGATCTGACAGGCACTGCACTTCATACTATGTTTTTTTTTTATAAGAAAGTGAAATGTGAAAGTGAAATTCAGGTGGTTAAGATGTGAAAACTCAGACAAACAGTCCCTTCCTGTAAGAACACAGGTTTGTTTGCTTGATCAAATGATGGATTAGCGGCTGTTTTCTTTCTTAAGACCTTGGAATGACATGGGCATTTTGTAAAAGGGTGGAGTTTGACTCTTGGACTCTTGGACTCTTGGGCCTTATTTGTTGTGCACACATTATTAGAATATGATCTGTATCTGGATATAGTCTATGGAAAATGTGCAACCTGATCATGAATTTTAAAAATGCAAATGGGTTTTACAGATTGCCTTTACACCTAAACTGACATTAGCTAATGATCAGACGATGCAGGTGCCCTGGCAGTCTAATAATGTTATTGACTCATTATGTACTGCCTGTGATTGAAGAGAGAGGCTAATTTCACAAAAATGAGCTGCTTGGGTTGTCTGTGGACCAGCTGTACTCATGATAATTATTACAGCTTAACATATTTTCAGATCATTTAGGTTTTCAATTCATCCTAGCTTTGTTGACCTCCAAACAAAACGTATTTCATTTACCTGGGCATGCTGCAACACCACTATAGTCTCCTCTTACAAATAAAGACATGTTTCCTACAGCCTAAAATGTTTCACCTTTGAATAAATGAAATGTTCCCCTACCAGTTTTTGACAGCCATATGCCATCCAAAACCCTGTGGTTGTAAAAAACAAACAAAAAAAAACCAGTTCAAGTTGGTTACAATGGATTTCAACATGTTTTTACAGCATAAAAGTACAGTACAGAAAAGTAGAAACCTTCAGCGTACTGGGCACGCAGATCAAAAGAACATATTTAACAGTCAGCTTCAGTGATCGATTGACTGAATAAGAAATAAGAAATGCATGTTTTTCATTGATGAGCCCCCATGGCCAGATGGCCTGCCCGGTGAAACGCAACAGAGGAGAAAATAGAGAGGCCAGAGGGGAAGTTTTTCTGTTCTGTTCTTGCTAAAACTTTAAGGGAACCTGAAGCAGCATTGTCAGGTACCTGCTCCGCCACCACACAGGCAAGGTTCTGCCCGCTCTTGTTATGGGCGTCAAGTATGTGCTTATGATAATTGCTTTTGCTTTTTTGTGTGTGCCAACTGGATCTTTCCTTCTCGGAAACCAACAAACAAAGATCTCTGCACTTCTAAATAGCAACCTGTGAGTTGACCCTGAGGCCACGCATCCTATCTGATAGTGTCTGAAAAGCAAAGTTAGAGAGGAGAAGGGTCCGTTGGAGAACTTGGGAAAAGTAATACCGGCTGTCAGACGTCATCAGCACAGCCTGTTGAATAAAAATATCTCACAGTGACGACATGTGTCCTGTTAATTGTATTTTTTTTTCAGAAGTGGCTTTTAACTGAAACAGGAGGTGGAGGTGTCTGCTATCAATAGGCCACCAGAGATGTTTGCTTTTATTTGAGAAGAAATGGAGCACAGAATTTAATTGAATTGGTAGAGGGGGGAATACTTCTAGTTTCTCAGACATTTGTGACTAATGAATGGGTTTTTCATTAAGAATCCCCAAAAGTTATAAAGCCAGAGGTAAAAAAAAAAAAAGGGGTCATGTCCTCTTGTATTTTTGGAATAAAGGAATAATAAGAAATAAAGAAGGCTTTATTGTCGAGTAGTGAGCTGATGTAACAGTAATAAAGTCAGCATTTAGAGGCTGCAGACTGGTCTTCATCATTATACTCTCTTGCTAAATCTTTTTGCCTAGAAGAATGCCTTGAACCCTAGTCTTTTCCTGGCTTTTCCAGTCAGTTCCACACAGAGGAGTCCTGCATGTTTATATTTAACACACACACATATATATATATATATATATATATATATACACACACACACACACACACGGAAAAAAATAAGTTAGTTCTGTTACTCCTAAAGCAGCAGACGACTTACACTCTTATCTTTCTTTTTTTACATTGTGGTGCCCTCATGTGATTCCCATCATAGCCCCACCCAAGTTCAACCTGAGCAGACATCTAATCAGCCAGAATAATTGAAAATTGTGGGACTGTGCACGGTCTTTAAACATAAAAAGTAAAATGCAATGAAGCGTTATTATTTCTGAAAATGCTAACAAGGCGCATGCTACTGCAAGAAAGAAATCAACCACTGCTAAAGATGTGATTATAATTTAAGCACTTGATTTATGTCACCAAACATTAAATCATCTTCAGTTAAGTTTAAATTGAATAAATATGTTGTATACAATTCAATGCGACGGTTTTACTTCCACTTCCACCGCTTTTTACTGACTATACTTTTTGCCTTTCAGCCATTTTTCCAGCTGGTTAAACTAAGAAAACTTGGCCTGAGTGACAACGAGATCCAGAGACTTCCACCAGAAATAGCCAACTTCATGCAGCTGGTAGAACTGGATGTCTCTCGAAATGGTAAGAAGGCAAAAAGGTCATATTAAACACACAACTAACTCATACTCAGTTGTTACATTTCACATTTTATAACTGTCTGTCTGTGTGTTTTCTTCACATCTGCGAGAGTATGCTTTTACAGCTGAGAGAGACGGCACTAAATTCAACGAATGAATGACACTGGCAGATTTACTCCCCATTAGTGAAGCTGATGCAGCAAACGAGCATACAAAAAAGCATGGTTTGCATTAGCCTGAATCTCCCAAGTTGTTTGAATAGACCCGAACATATTCCTTTAGATACACTGGTGAGGTTTCTCCTGCAACAAAGCAGCAGTCTGTTCACAGCTGTGGCTGGAGAGCAAAACCAAATTCAAGTTGATAGAAAGTGCATTTAAGACACTGTCTTGTTTATGTTGAGTCATGATTAAGTTGGAGTGTTTTAAACAACTGCACATTTGATCTTTCTTTTTTGGTCTGAATGCATCATATTTAGTGAGTGAGACATGGGTAATATAACTTCAATAATAACACAGATTTATTCTCATTAGATTTACCACATCTTTGCAATCAGGTCTGCACCGTCACTGTCGTGATTTTTATTGTTTATCGCTTGCACTTAAAGCAACTGCCTTTAATTGTATTATTTTGACATGCGTTATTTAACTAATGCTGATTGTGTCGTATATTTATTTTTTGACTGCTGGCCCGAGTGGAGTGATTAAGAAGTGCTGTAACATGTGTCTTTTCTCTTATTCAGATATTATGGAAATTCCAGAGAGCATTTCATACTGCAAAGCCCTCCAAGTGGCAGATTTCAGTGGAAATCCATTAACAAGGTAGTGACACAGATGATGATGTTTTACTTTTCAAAGCGGAAAACTAATTATCATGCATATTTGATACTTTAACCGTGGTCTCTTCTAAAATATTCCTCTGTCAAGATTTGTAACTTGGCTAAAACCATACATTTCATATACAGTATCTGATACTTTTCTACTTATCTCCTCCTAAATGAACCGGCCTATTTATCCAGATTTAAATGTTGGAATAACAAAAGCGGGGAGTACATCTTTGAAAATTAAGAAAATACATGTTTCTTGTGGTTCATATTGCCATTGTCTGCATTGTGTGTGTTTTTAAGAACTCCTGCTTTTACTCCTGCCGCCATGAACTTGACAGATTGCAGATTTTGCATAGTTTGCTTTTAATTGTGTGGGTGAGACTAAGTCCAATTTGCACCCCAGCAGGGGAAAAAACCACACTGCTTTTCAGTCTATAGTTTAGGAGGCACCAATGAATAGTATAACATAGCATTGGTGTTCAATACTTTTAAAGTGCACACAGGCTTCCACACACACACAACACTCTTTTTCCACAGTAGTAACCTAATTTTCCACTCTTTCATCAGCCCTAATTGAACAGTTTCATAGTAAAGGTTTAGTTACAACTGGGGGTTAGCAGGAATGTGATGGCACATTAATTAATTTTAAAGGCCCTGTCTGTATTTTTCAAATGTATAAAAAAGAAGAATTTTATCTTGTTTTTAAAAACATTTACAGCAACAAAAAATATAAAAAGCGATGATTTAGTTGTCTCTATAAGTTGTTTTATTAAAGGACCTGTCACTTTAGGATTGATCGCAGGCTCCATTTAGAATTGCAGCGGTGGACATTGTGTTTATATTAGCAGGTTTTAGTTTACATGGAGCGCCATACTTAATCTTGAGAGTGTGCCTGGTTCCAAATACCAGCAGCCGGCTACAGGTCACTTCTAGTCAGTTATTAAGACTTGTTGATACCTTTCTTGATCTCTGGCTTACATTCAGTCCAAATAATGATTCTGGAGAGAAATATTGGAAAGAAATAGTCTTTTTTCATCTCATTCACATTTATGTAGGATGGATTCCACCAAAATGAAGATAACCAGAGCTTGAATGATGCAAGAAGCTTAATGTTGTTGCTGCTGCTATATATCAGAGTGTGACCACAGTAGTCTCATAGTAGTAAAAACTTGACAAAAGAAAGTTTTGTCCTGAACAAGCAGACAATATGTCCATTGAGAAAATTGGATTTTCTGCCTTTTTTTTTTTTTTTTTTTTTTAGGACACCAGATTGCAGAGACTTTTATTGCCTTGCCTAAAGTGCTGGTAAACCCTTGCTTAACATTGCTTACATTCTCAACAGACAACACAGTCATCCAACAGCACAGTCACCCTCTCCTTTTTAGTGGCCAGTATTCATCATTTTCCTGCCGGTGTCTCACAAGGTGGCGACTTTGTGTTTTATTTTTGCAGGTTACCTGATAGCTTTCCAGAGCTGCGGAATCTAACATGCCTTTCCATCAATGATATTTCATTGCAAGTTCTTCCAGACAACATTGGGAAGTAAGTGTATACACTGATTCATCATGTTTGCTTTGACATAATAAGTGGATCTCACCTTTGCCAGTAAAACATTTCCACACCGTTTCATAGCACAAGCAAAAATGAAAATGTTTATCTTACCCTGAAATGACAAATGTCTGTTACTCTGAACAATGACAAACAAATGGTGTTCATGGTGCTTGTAACCTATTTAGAGTTCAGAGAGAGAGAATCTTTTCAAGACTACAAATCCCTTGTTTTGGAGCATATTGATGCACTAATAGCCTGAAGTGCATATAATGTAATGATGATGTCGAGGGACTTGTGTCACATAACATCTATGTGTCTCTCTCTGCATTTCCATGTCTCACACTTTGCTTCAGTCTTTGTGATCTTGTTAGAAAAATCTTAATTTTATCCACAAATAGATTTAATTTGTTGAGTTCCATAGAAATACTGAACCAAATTCAGTTGTTTTTAATACCACCCTCTGTGATGTGGTGTGTGTTAACAGACATTAAACAGTCTAGTGTGTGAAAGCAACAACATTTTCCCCTTTTGAAACGCCTTGAGTCTTAAAAAATTCTCTAGAGTGGCGCTGTGTGAGCGACTACTTATCTAGAGGTAAATATGTCAGGTTTTATTGTTTTAGTCAGTAAACATGATGAGGTGAGAAGTCCTCCTACACAGCCAATTAACATATGGAATGACAGTTTTCCTTCTTAACTAAAATAATTAAAAAATCTGTAATGTGTCCAGATCATGACTGTGACTCCTTCTGTACAACGTTGTGCATTAAGTGCTATTATCATCAGGCACTTGGTTTTCTATTGCCTTCTTCTCCCCCAATTGTAATAATTTCCTCTAAAATCTCTTCCGTCTCACTGCATTAGGGGAAAACATACCAACCACATTACTCCCCACAGACACATCAGTCAGCGTCTGCTCCTTGACTTCATTGTCTTGGTCATAAAAGGCAAAAGTCTTGTTGTGAGATGGCACATAATCCGGACTAGTGAAAGCTCATGTCTGCCAGCATTCTTATTCCTTAGAGGCCTCCCCTATTGTTGAGTTCAGTTATAATTGGATTTAATAACAGAAATATGTGCTTTTAGGTCAAATTGCCACAAGGGATGTTTTTAGTGGAAGTTTGGAATTCAAAGGAAACTGAACTAAGACTCTTACACTGATGGATTTAAAGGGATAAATTTACTTTAGATGTACACTTGTGGTTAGAAATGTTGATGATGTTCTGATATTGGATGGATTTTTTTCTGGAGCTCCTATCATTCATTGCTACAAATTACCTCTTCACCAGACACTTGTCTTTTTTTTTTTTTTTTTTACAAATAGTAACACCTTCTTAATTGATGAATTGTGTAGAGCAGGATTTAAAACACAAAAGTTACGAAAGATGTTGTTTAAAGGCACTTTTTCTCACATTGATTACTACAGTGAAACTCCCCCGGGTGTAGTAGTATGTTTTAAATGATTACTGGTGGTTGTGGTCTGGATGGCATATTTGAGTCATTAGATAACTGCTGAAAAAGTTGGAGCTAAACTAAACAGAGATTCGTCTCGCCTTGCGGTGGTGCCATAAATTAAGGATTATTGCTTAACCTCTCAGAGATAATGCATGGATGGTGGATGACAGCCTGAATTCTTTTAGTGTTCATAGGTCAGGACTACAGACTTTGAAATAATGCTATGCCACCTATTTTATACTTCTTTTAAGACTTAATGTTAATCTGATGTTTTACACATACAACATTTGGCCTAAATTAGATTTTGTGCAAGACACAACCCGCCAGATAGATTTTTTTTTATTAAGATCCATACTGTAATGGATCATCTGAGTAGTGATGATGGTCCTGCAGAACTGACCTATAACATTTGTAACTGTGTTGTGCGTTGAGCTTTTCTCAGGTTCTGCATATTTCCTTAGTTGCATAATATTCTGCAACATGTTAAATCTTGTTGTTTAAAGATTATAAACAAGCTTCAAACATAAAAACGCTAAAACCAAAGTCAGTTAAGATTTTATTTTAGAAAAATGACGCTTCCTTTCAGAAATCTGTTTTGCAGATTACCTGGTTGGCTATAAAAGCCGTTTCTCATACTGTTCATGTTGTTTGCCATGGCAACGGCTACAAACTGAACATAGACAAGAGCTGGAACTGTGTATGTGACTGATTTACATCATTTTGTATGACATATAGAGTTTTCCTACCAAGAAAGTCACCTAAAGTTCAAGTGATCTCTTCACACCCATTTCCTCATAGTACGGCATGTGCCCCACATGTGTCTCATATCTATCTTACATAAAGCAGTGACTTAAGGCCTGCGCTCTGTCAAGGAAAGAAGGTAATGAAAACCATAACACAGTTGGAACAACACACTAGAGGGCTTTTAGACATGGATAAAGTAAATGTTTAAGGGGTTAAATGACATCATTTATCTCCTGAGATGGGAGTGTTTTCTGGCAAAAAGTAGCATTCACAGAAACCTGCGACATTGATGCAGTAAAGTGGTTGTTTACATCATTTAGCTGATCTCTAAGACCAGATTTCAGGCAGAGTCTTTTAATCTCTGGCTTGCGATCTGAAAGAAAAACACTCACAGAAAGCAAGATTAAGGAAAAGTAGCAGTTGGATTGCATATAATGTTGAGGGTCAGCCGGGTTTTCAAGAGACACTTGATGTAGACTAGATTAAGAACCAGTTTAAACATACCTACTTGGTATGGAAACTGCAGTGCCACTCTAAAGGCTTTAGAAACAATTCATTAGTGTCATATTTCTGACAGTGATAGAGCTTGGCTAATTGACTCATAATATTTGGTTTGGTATTCAGATCAGGAAAATGATGTTAACTCCTCGGTCCATCTCTAATCCCACACGAAGGCTGAATTATTTAGTCTGGGTTCTGATCAACAACACGGACTTTGCACTGTACTAGTAAGCTGTTGTCATAAAATCCTCCATTAATTGGGTACATGTGCAGCACGGAGGCGTACATAAGCAGCACTGTGCTGTACTTTGTTCTATGATAACCATTTAGACATTTTGCTCTTCATTTAAAGAATGCAGCTGTTGTTTATGCTGCTGTGATTTCAGAGCCTTGATAAGAGTGACACACCTCTAAAGTACTTCCTTTTCTCAGATATCTGATTGCAAGGAGACGTTTTACGGCCATTTTTGTTTTTTAGCTCTCATTAAAACTCATTGTTTCTTTTTAGAAACATCCAAGAGCATCATGTCTAATATTTATCTGTGTTGTGGAGATATGAGTAGAAATTGCATAGAAACTACAGTTCATGTTTTTATGGCAATTTCAGAAGCAATTAATCTTTCTTTTCTCCTGTCATCGCAGCCTTTCCAATTTGGTATCACTAGAACTCAGAGAAAATCTGCTCACATTCCTACCAGAGTAAGTGTTCAACTAACTGCACAGTATGTATGGATATTTATATATGTATGTATTGTTGTATCATATCTCCTTGCATCTGTCAACCACAGGTCACTATCTCTGCTTCATAGACTTGAAGAACTCGACCTAGGAAATAATGAACTCTACAGTCTGGTAAGTCTTTTTTCTCTGGGTGCGTGTGAGCTTGTTTACTCAGAAGAATGCCACATTGCCGCTCACAAAATGAGCAGAATGAAACTTTTCCCATTTCCTTGTTCTTGTCATGTCCGAGTAGATTAACGTCCCTCGAGAACAGCTTTCACCTCTTATCACGCAGATGGGAGGATGACCATCTGTGTTGAGCTCTGGTTTTAAGTTGTAATCTTATGCGAGCGGTCTAACTCTGATGGTGAATGATTTACTGACAGATCAAGCAAAGACAGACTGCAAAGAAATGGCTTTTAATGTGTTTTATTTTCTTTACAATGTATTCCTCAGTTGTGTGTACAGTGAACTGAAGTTATTTACATTTTTGGATGTCGTCTGAATTTCTTCTGCTCGCAATTGTGATAGTTAATATTTGGTTTTCAGTATTATCCTTTATTCCATACTCTTGACACGGCTCTGTTACATTTAATAGATATAATTAAATTGATTTGTCATGATGCCAAAAAGCAGCAGAAGAGTTGTGATACGCTCTTGAAGAAAGCAGTGTAACCTAAAACGAAAATAAGTATTGATAGAATCATATGGGGGGGTTGTGGATCCATTTTCATTCATTTCAACCGATTTCTATTCGCTGTGTGTGCACATCATGAATTTGAATCAAAGAAAAAAGCAGTATATTGTCAGAATCAAATCACTAATATTGCATTCTTCTGTTTTGTTGTCTCTTCTTGTCTTTTCTATTTTTCTGGCTCTCACTCTTTCAATCTCTACATTTCTTCCTCCCACATAGCCGGAGTCAATAGGCTGTCTTGTCAGCTTAAAGGACTTGTGGCTGGATGGAAACCAGTTGGCTGACATACCCGCAGTAAGCTTTGCATGCAAATGTATAGGCTGTATTTGAGATTCTGTTATCATTATTATAGTACCACTGTTTCATATAATCCATTTCATAGCATTGTGCATTGATGCATATATATATATATATGAGTTCAGAAAATAAAATTAGAACTAGAATCAGTGACAAAAATTCCATCCCAAGATAAGACAAATGTTGTCTTGCAGCCATGTTGAACATGTGTCCAAAGCCTAAGGTGTTTGCTTTACCACAAGTCTCTGCTCTGAATCTCAGGAGATGGGCAGTATGAAAAGCCTGTTGTGTCTGGATGTGTCAGAAAACAAAATGGGGCACCTTCCTGAGGAGTTGGGAGGCCTGCTGTCACTAACTGACCTGCTGGTGTCTCAGAACCTCATTGATGCTCTCCCCGAAAGCATTGGTAAGCACTTGAATTCTCCTAGCCCTTTATTAGCGTGATTATGCTATCTTTGCAAGCTTGTCTTGGGTATATTTTGACATAGGTTATTTCTCATCATCTCGTAATTCTCACACATGGGAAAACATTGCTTTTCTGCATGTGCTGTATGTGGCAGCCAATATGCTTTGGTGTCTGCATTTAATGTGACAACTACCAAATCTCTAAGCGCTTGTGCTGCAGCACTGCTTTTAGTCATTTGTTTAAAAAGTGATACATTCACATTTGGATGATATCTAGCTCTTGCTCCTATGTGGTTTTAATGCACTTATTTTAACTCACTCCGGACAAGAGTGTCTGCCAAATGAATGAATATTGATGTAATGTATTGAAAATAAGACACTGAAAATAAATATAACTTAAGAGACAGCAACATACATTTTACGCAATGTTCCCGTTATGACCTCATCAGCTTGCTAAGTAATATCTAAACAAGGTTTGCAGTGTGTCTAATATATATATTTTTCTTTCTCTGCAGGAAAACTACGGAAACTTTCTATATTGAAAGCCGATCAGAATAAACTAACTTATCTTCCAGAGAGCATTGGCAACTGTGAAAGTCTCACTGAACTTGTGCTCACAGAGAACCATATACAGGTTTGTTTCCAACTGTATTAATGTTTTGTCTTCAAAACGTAATGAAAACATTATAGGGTTAGTACCTTCACACTTATTTTACAAAGTTGGGCCTTAGCTCGCCCATGCTAACCGAACTGGAAAAATAGCTATAGGCAAGACTGATGTGCAGACTGCTGAAGTACAAGTGATGACACACTGAGTGAGACAGAGACTGAAAACCACATTCAGGTGATGCGTACGTGACCGCTCTGACCTGTCTGTGTTTTTCTGTCACATCCCATTTTGTCTGTCTGCATGAGAGCACCTCCCTATACTGATGACACGTGGATGATTTGGCTCTCTATATTGTCCTCATTTTATGGATAAATTGATTAATGGGACAAACTGTTTAACTGTTAAAATATAATGTAAAGAAAAAAATAAAATAAGGAAATACTAATGATGTTCTTTTTTAATTGTTATTTTGATTGATTTATTGTTTCAGAGTTTGCCGAGGAGTATTGGGAAATTGAAACGGCTTTCCAACTTCAACTGTGACAGAAACCAGCTAATGTCATTACCCAAGGAGGTAAGCTTTTCACATATCAACCAACATCAGTTACCCAAACCGAAGATCATAAGTACCAAAGTACCTAAACTATGTGTTTTATAATCCAGCTATAACTCTTCTACTAATAGATGCGTACAACAGATTATATACAATCTAATGACACCCAAGTTTATAGTGGTAATATTCAGCACCAAATACAGAAATCAGCCAACCCAGACTGGTGCCCCTCCTTTCCTTACCAAAGAAACCAAAGAAACCAGAAAGACAAATGATGATGTTACCTCCAATAAATATAGTAAATGTGAAGCCTAAAAACCACAGATCTACAAAAAAAAAAACAGGAGCTCTTACGCTCGTTGCCTGCAGGTGGTGCAAATGTCAAAATGTGCCGAAATGATTACTCTCTTTACCTGTAGATGACAAACATCGACGTGATCTTCGTCTTCAGGTGTAAACTGCTGCTGTTGTTATTTTTCTTGTCAGCAGGTGGTGCAGGTTAGGCAGGAACTGCAGCTCTGACCTTCAAATTATTATTACAAATGTGAATTTTTCTGTCCGGTTTTTCCTGTATTGAGTGCACTAATGTAATGCTCTTAGACTGCCATTAGGCTTTAATGCAACAGTTTATGAGTGACATTGAGATTTTCCTTGGCTCAAATTGTTAAACTATCTAAAGTTCATTCACGTTTTAGATCAACAGTGCTCTTCCTTGTTGTGCTTTCTCTTTTCACTTTTACTGCTCAGTCCTCTCGGTTTGCTCATCTCTGTCTGAGTGTCTCCATTGTGTTTGTATGTGACATTCTTTTCTAACCTCTTGTCTGTTTAAGTGAAGGCACGCCTGGTTGAAAGCTTCATCTGAAAGGCTTCTTCAGACGTTGTACAATGGCCTTGTGTATTAATGATGTAAAGACTGCAGTGTTTGGAGAAAAAATAACAGTTCAACACACTTGGCCTTAGATAATGAATCGATGGTGTCACTGTTTTCTCAAACCAGCATTGCATGACATCTCTAACAATCACAGCGTAACCATTTCCCAAGTATTGATTTGTGCTTTGCTGAGCTACTTGACCATTGGCCCAGTTTTATGGATTCTATTGATTGTTGATTAGTTGCTCCTAACACATTTTCCCTGGCTGACTTTTGTCTGTGCTAACATGGAATCATGTATGTGAATTGTTCTAAAACTGACGATTTCAAATGTTTTGTTTGTTCCTTCTGCTTCGTTTACTGTAGACTCTATTCTCTCCTGTGGACGCATAAAGCACTTACCATATGATGAGCTTAACCTGCTCCTTTTAACGTGATGAATCTCTGGAACAGTACTGGTATCCTGCTCCTGCAGGTCTCTGTCTGAGCAGATTAATAGATTACAACTGCAGTTCAGCTGGCCCATCAAGTCTCTGCTTTGTCTGGCTACTAGGTCTAATTGTTCCTAATTTTAGGTCCCTGCGCCACATCCCATTGACATTTAACTAATCTGCCACCGAGATCACCAATTCTGGGACAAAGTGCCCAAATACTGCCAACAGACTCACTCTGGTTTCTTTTGTTCTGCATTGTTAAAACGCCAGATTTATACTTATGAGTATTTGTTTTATATTAAATTATACTCCATATCCAGACAAGGAGAGGAAAAATCCCCACTGAAACCACTTAGTGTTTTTATGCTTCATGGGATGCCTGTTACTGTGGCTGACATGCAGCCTAATCATGATGTCTCTTCTATTAACTAGATCGGGGGCTGCAGCGGTCTGAATGTCTTCTGCGTACGAGAGAACAGGCTGACGAGGATACCGTCAGAGTTGTCTCAAGCCACCGAACTGCATGTGTTCGATGTCTCTGGAAACAGGTATGTGCAACAAGGTGGAGAAGGTAGTTTACACCAACTCAAGTGAAAGATATATGGATAAAAAAGCAAATACAAACCCAAATTTTAGAAAACATGAAACATGATTCTTGATTAAATACTTGTTTTCTACTCTCTGATCCCTGAAGATTATCCTGATATTTTGACAACATATTACTCACTCGCTGTCAGTGGCAGATTGTTTTGGCTCTGGTTCTCTGCCTCTACCTGTTTTGGTCCAAGCTTTGTCTTCAGAGGAGGCTGTAGCCAATGTCTGCTGCTTGAGTCACACACACAAACATGTTCACCTCTGTGTCTGGGGAGTGTTTCCCCTCCTGCACATTGTCAGAACAACTGCCAAGTTCTTCATCCGAAGTACTAATCCTAAAAGCTAACACAGCAGTGTTACGAAAATAAGAACCTGCAGGTATCTCGTGGTTTCTTTATATCCTATATAATATGAGCCGGTTAGATATTTATTTCCTGTTTGTTTTCAGGTTGATCCACTTACCGCTGTCACTGACCACACTACGACTGAAAGCCTTATGGTTGTCAGAAAACCAGTCGCAGCCTCTCCTCACCTTTCAGACCGACGAAGATCCTGACTCAGGCGAGAAGGTGCTCACCTGCGTGCTGCTGCCTCAACAGCCATGTGAACCAGACAATAAAGGTAATGTTTTTTTTGTTTTTTTATATCAAGCCTAAGATAATTCCCTGAAGTTTTGAATAACCAAACCATGAGTCATCTGTGTTATCAGGAGCTCTAGACATTTTTTTCATATTGGACTGAGTGAAATGACAGTAGTATGTGTGTGTGTGTGTGTCTGTGTGTGTGTCTGTGTGTGTGTGTGTGTGTGTGTGTGCATATGTACATATAATATAAATATGGTAGTGCACATGCTCATCTATCTATCTATCTATCTATCTATCTATCTACACACATATATATATATATATACACACAAACACAGTATGTGTGTGTGTGTGTCTCTGTGTGTGTCTGTGTGTGTGTGTGTATATATATATATAGATATATATATATATATAGTGTGTGTGTGGGATCAGTGTCTCCATGCTCCTTAAGTGTCAGGCTACAGTGAAACGACTTGGTGCCAGCACTGTGACATTTGAGTATTATTCCTCATCAGTTCTTGCCTCGTCCCTGATTATTTAGTGCCCTGCGGTTTTGGCGACATTATCACATGATCTGCTCGGGGAAGCACAGCGTGTTCTGTGCCCTCTGATCCTTCCCCGCAGTATCTGTCGATTATGAGGTCCTGTAAGGGATCACAGCGCCTATAACGGATCAGGCCCTCTCCTGTCCCTTGAGGCCCTCCTTGGTTATGTTTTTCAGAAATGCGGCGGATTGGACAGTTAAAGAGGCTTAGCAGCGGCTGGCCTGCTGCCATTAAAAGCTCGCCTAGTGGGTATAGAGATGCGGCTGAAGGCTGGCTCTATCTCTGCCTGATACGACAGTCCATTGTCATTTTTATTCTTTGCGTTCATCCACAGACAAATGTGAGGAGTATATGCGTTCCACTGCAAAAGGCTTGTTCCTTCATGTCACTGTATGTTGCACTTAAAAAAAAGCCGTTTCTCCCTCAAAAAGAAACGGCGGCATTTATGCATTGATGTGCTGTCTCTCTCTTGTGGGAGAGATGCAGATGTAAGACTGGTGGAGGTCAGATGAGTGAGGGTGAAGCCATAGTTGGGGGCAGGGAAGATTGTGTTGCTGTAAGCCTGTGACTAAGCTGGGATTTGAAACTGTGATCTGGCAGTTTCAGGCTCTCTCTCATAAGAGCTGGGTTATGTGACAGTTTTCATTTCTTGAGTTGGCAGATTGCGGAGAAGCGATCATAACAACCATATTGATTTTAATCTACTGAAATATTCATTTTACGATCTGTAATTCATTCTTAGCATTTTTACACATGCATGAACTCCAGTAATACAATTTGTGTTGTCTCTTTTAAAAACAACCTCAGGCTCTGATAAACTTGCCCGCTTTGGAGCCCTGGAGAGCCTGGTGAATGACATGGCAGATGACACGTGGGACAGGAAAGCCGTGAACAGGATCAGTGCCATTCACTTCCTTGATGATGATGAGGAGGAGGATGATGACAAGGTGAGAGCGCCGAGCTCAAGGGCTCAACTACGGCGCAGAAAAAGCAAAAATGAAAAGCCACTGTTAAGGGATGAGTCTGGTGATATTCTAGATTTTTCTTATTGTCAACAAATCTTATAAAAAGACTAAAACTAACAGTGAACTGTATCCAAAGGCTGATATATCTTATTCCTCTGTGCCATAGAGCCCGTTACTAAAAACACATGATGTCCATATTAGAGAAACAAGAACAAAGAGCTGCTTTTAGCGAAATGCTAACACCAGCTGCTAGCTTGCTCACAATGACAATAGTAACATGATGATGCAAAAATTAGTTCAACATTTCTCTATTACATTTTGCTACTTTCAAGCCAAATGCGACACATTTGCAATCAGTCATTCAGTTTGGACGTTCAGTTTTGACATAGCCTTTAGTCAGCCATGCCCATTTTTAACTGTTCTTCGCTCACCACCTAGAGCAGATGCAAGTAATTACTCTTTTTGCTGCATATATAGAAAGTGTACCACTAATTAGAGTCATTCCTTCACGCAGGGAACTTTACTCCGGCGGGCTACGCCTCACCCCGGTGAGCTGAAAACGATGAAGAAAGCAGCTGAGAACCTCCGCAACGACCTGAACGCTGCCAAAGGCCTGGACTCCAACAAAAACGAGGTCAATAACGCTGCAGACAGAGTGACCACGTCTGTGTGACCTTTACCTCAGCAATGTTTTTTACCTCCTGTGTCTCGCCGCTGTGTTGTCCTGCACAACCCCTGCAGTCCCCCCCGACCCCCACCCCCCCCCCCCCTTTTCTATGTTTTACCTACAAACCCCAGTGTGGCCTACCCTCCTCTGATTAAACCCTGGGACGCCTGTAACCTTACTCCATCTCCAGTCCTGTGTAAAAACGTGTTTGACTCAGTCTACCAGGGCCGCTGTGCCTTCCTTTTTAAAAAAAAAAAAAAAATTAACGTCCACAGCAATAATCTGCACAGAGATGCTCCTTTTAAAAGATATTTTAAAAATTTATTACTTTTTTATAATGGCCGTCTTATTTTAAAATATACATTAGGTAGTTGCACTTATATAAGTCTTTAATAGTCATGGTGC